TTGCCCTTCGTATTGTCTTTTCTCGTACTAAATGATCTTCCCGTAAATAAATGAAATGAAATAAAATGGAATAAAATTGAATAGAATTGAATAGAATTGAACAGAATTGAATAAAATTGAATAGAATTGAATAGAATCGAATTGAATAGAATTGAATCGAATACAATGGAATAGGATCGAATAGGATTGAATAGAATCGAATAGAATCGAATAGAATCTAATAGAATCGAATAGAATCGAATAAAATGGAATAGAATCGAATGAAATTGAACAGAATCGAATGAAATTGAACAGAATCGAATAAAATTGAACAGAATCGAATAAAATTGAACAGAATTCAATAGAATTGAATAGAATTGAATAGAATTGAATAGAATAGAATTGAATTGAATAAAATTGAGTAAAATTGAGTAAAATTGAGTAAAGTTGAGTAAAATTGAGTAAAATCGAGTAAAATCGAGTAAAATTGACTAAAAAGAAATAAAAAGAAATAAAATGAAATGAAATGAAAATTTGCTGGCAAACAATCTGCCGTCGAATCGAGTAATTCGAACTTAAACTTTGTCATGTGAACAACAACAAACCGTGTAAATGTTCGCGTTACAATTTTTTGCAATTCTTCAAACAATTTTTCCGAAAGAAATTCGACATTAAACGTCGCGTTCACATTCATTGTTCCTATAATCAAACCAGTTTCATATTTGCCTCCATTTCCGATTTCTCTCATAATTCTTAGAGCGTCTTCGATTATCTTCGTCGATTCGACGCGACTGTTCCTTTTTTTTTTCTTTTTCAAGGCAAGGAATCCAGAAATCGTCGTCGTTCGATCTCAACAACACCCGTCGAATATATATCACACCTGTACGCTGGCGGAATGCGTACGCTTAGTCACGCGACATAACTTCTCTCGCGGATCGGCATGCGTTTCCAAAATGTGTTGGCCAGCGGCCGCGCGCGCGCATACCAAACGCGTTTCCATTGAGGAATTCCACTTTGATTTTCTTGTTCAACGCGGCGTCACGCGAGGCGACGCTGTTTCTCAGCGGCGTTCTATTCTTCATTTACACGGGAACACCGAAACGGATCGAACCGATAAAAATCTGTTCCGTTCGCGAGAACGCAAGCGCGGCGGCGGCGGCGAGACGCGAATTGCGCGCGCGCGCGCGCGGTGCGTTTCGCAGCGTGTCGGGATCGAACGACAGAAATAAAATGTTGGTGGCGGTTGCGTGCACCGTTTCAAAAATATCGCGACGTTATTTCGATGCCTCGCTGTCTTTAACGTAAATCACGTAATCCACCCTTGACTTGACGCGGTTTACTTCGTAATTAATGACCGCGTCCCGGCGAGGCGAGACGAGGCGAGGCGATTTTCCTGGCAAAGAAAAAGTTATGATTTTCTGTGAAAATCATCGGCCGTTTTATTGGAACCCGTTTAACGAATTCGAAGTTGTGAAATAATAATAACAGTTCTATTAATTAAGAGAGAAATATAATTTCTATGAATTAAAATGTAAATAAAAGTTATATTAATTAAAATATAAATTAAAGTTCCACGAATCATAATATAATTAAAAATTCTATAAACCAAGGATATAAATAAAAGTTATATTAATTAAAATATAAATAAAAGTTCTATGAACTAAGCCATAAATAAAAGTTCTACGAATTAAAGTATAAAGAAGAGTCGTACGAATACAGAGTGTCCCATAATTACGTTAACACCTGGAAAGGGGAGATTCCTGAGGTCATTCGATGCAACTTTTTCCTTTGCGAAAATGTTCTCCGTGGCTTCGTTTACGAGTTATCAACAAAAAACACTGACCAATCGAAGAGCGAGCGCGGGCAGCGCTCCGCCTTCGCGGCCAGTACCGTGTCGCGCCGGTCGCCTGACGCAGCGACAGTGGTCGCGAGGGCGTGGCGCCAGCCGCACTCGCTCTTCGATTGGCCCACGTTTTTCGTTAATAACTCGTAAACGAAGCGACGGATTGCAATTCCGCTAAGGAAAAAGTTGCTTCAAATCACCTGAGGAATCATTCCATTCCAAGTGTTAACATAATTATGGAAATTCCTGTATAGAAGAATATGAACTAATTACTTTTCCATTCGTGGCGATATAATATCAACGAAATTTCATTTTTATAGAGACAATCGTGCAAAGAATACCGTCTAAAAAATCAGATATCCTGTACATATACAGAAAAATAGTATTTTAATACAGAAAAATAGCACTTTAAAATTGCAAATTAAGATTACGATCAATGAAAATAATTCTGCTCGATATTTAAATCGAAATTGAAGCAACCGAGACTATTAAGAGCGGGAGGCGAATTTTCCTAGAATTTCTTTCACGCGGAAACCGCGCATAAGAATTCGATTTCGAAGCGACGAGCGGGTCGTCGAGAAGACCTCGTTGCATTTTAGTCGAAAAAATGCGAATTTGAACGGCGTTCGGACGCGCATGGAACGCGAATTTCACCGGACACGGTTTGAATTGCAGGGAAGTATCGCGTGCGCCGTAAGTTTCCCCTGCCGAGAACGATCTGGGACGGCGAGGAGATGTCCTACTGCTTCAAGGAGAAGTCGCGGAGCGTGCTCCGCGATTGGTACGCGACCAATCCGTATCCATCGCCCCGCGAGAAGCGGGAATTGGCGGAAACAACGGGCCTCACCACCACGCAGGTCAGCAACTGGTTCAAGAACAGGCGGCAACGGGACCGCGCGGCCGAGCACAGGTATTTATTTATGTATTTTTTCATTGTTCATTATTTGTTTAGAGCGGCGAGAACAATTGTCGGCGCCTATTCCGCGCCGACGTACGACGATTGTCGCCGCCATAATTTTTTGCCTGATTCGAATTTGATTCGGCGCCAAAAATATCGCGAGAGAAAGACGAAGACGGCGAAGATTGTATTGGGATTATTGGGAATTCAATTTGGATTTGTTTCATCGCGAGAATTTTTTAACGTAATCGTGTCGCACGAATTTTCGTGTTATTGTATTATTATGATGCAAATATATTGTAATATAATAATAATAATGATATTGATGTAGCAATTATTATATGATAAAGGAAATATAAATATGTTGTAATATGATAGTAAAATATAGAAAAAGGAATTATTATATGATAAATATGATATAAATGTATTAATTATTATATAATAAATATAATATAATAATATAATATAAATGTAATATAATACTAAAATATAATAATATATAATATATATTAATAATATTATATATTATAACGACGAAGATCGCCATTGGTCAATAGCGGCCGATAGCTGCGGCAGTGGGGCGGCTAGTAGGAGGGGGAAACGTAAACGCGAAGGTGCCTTCTTGTCGCGCGAGGACTATACGTTCACGCGTTGCGCGATTTCACGTTTTAGGAAATTGTGTGGTCGCACGAAAATTTTCTTCTTGCAACAATAATCGCATAGTGTGCCTAAAAAAAACTTTCATAGTCTACGTAAATTCAACAAAGAAATAACGTAACAAATTTATTACGCAATTGTAAGCAATTATATCCTAATAAACAAAACTTGAACAATAGTTTTCTATTATATATTTCTATATAATAGAATTATAATATAATAATAGAATATAATATATAGAAAAAATATTTCTACCATAGTGAATATAATATATACTATATAATATAATATACTGTTATATAATAGTAATAATATATTAATATACTAATATATTTTTATATTATATATTCACTGTGGTAGTGAA